GACAGAGATGGTAGGGACCTAACAGAAGCGTTAAGATATTAAGAAGAGGTGGCAAGAATAGACAGAAGAATTGTACAAAAAAGATCTTCACAACCCAGATAATCATGATGGTGGGATTACTCACCTAGAGCCAGACATCCTGGAATGTGGTCAAGTGGGCTTTAGAAAGCATCACTACAAACAAAGGTAGTGGATGTGATGGAATTCCAGTTGAGCTATTTCAAATCCTGAAAGATGATGCTGTGAAAGTGCTGCACCTAATATGCCAGCAAATCTGGAAAACTCAGCAGTGGCCATAGGACTGGAAAAGGTCAGTTTTCATTCCAATCCTAAAGAAAGGCAATGCCAAATAATGCTCAAACTACTGCACAATTGCACTCATCTCACACGCTAGTAAAGTAATGCTTAAAATTCTCCAGGCTTCAGCAATACATGAACCATGAACTTCCAGATGTTCAAGCTGGTTTTAGAAAAGGCAGAGGAACCAGAGATCAAATCACCAATGTCTGCTGGATCATTGAAAAAGCAAGAGAGTTCCAGAAAAACATCTATTTCTGCTTTATTGACTATGCCAAAGCCTTTGACTGTGTGGATCACAATAAACTGTGGAAAATTCTGAGATGGGAATACCAGACCACCTTACCTGCCTCTTGAGAAACCTGTATGCAGGTCAGGAAGCAACAGTTAGAATTGGACATGGAACAACAGACTGGTTCCAAATAGGAAAAGGAGTACGTCAAGGCTGTATATTGTCACCCTGCTTATTTAACTTCTATGCAGAGTACATCATGAGAAACGCTGGGCTGGAGGAAGCACAAGCTGGAATCAAGATTGCTGGTAGAAATATCAATCACCTCAGATATGCAGATGACACCACCCTTATGGCAGAAAGTGAAGAAGAACTAAAGAGCCTCTTGATGAAAGTGAAAGAGGAGAGTGAAAAAGTTGGCTTAAATTCAACATTCAGAAAACTAAGATTATGGCATCTGGTCCCATCACTTCATGGCAAATAGATGGTGAAACAGTGGAAACAGTGACTGACTTTATTTTGGGGGGCTCCAAAATCACTGCAGATGGTGATTGCAGCCATGAAATTAAAAGACGCTTACCCCTTGGAAGGAAAGTTATGACCAACCTAGATAGCATATTAAAAAGCAGAGACATTACTTTGCCAGCACAGGTCCGTCTAGTCAGGGCTATGGTTTTTCCAGAAGTCATGTATGTATGTGAGAGTTGGACTATAAAGAAAGCTGAGTGCCGAAGAATTGATGCTTTTGAACTGTTGTGTTGGAGAAGACTCTTGAGAGTCCCTTGGGCTGCAAGGAGATCCAACCAGTCCACCCTAAAGGAGATCAGTCCTGGGTGTTCATTTGAGGGACTGATGTTGAAGCTGAAACTCCAATACTTTGGCCACCTGATGCGGAGAGCTGACTAATTGGAAAAGACCCTGATGCTGGGAGGGATTGGGAGCAGGAGGAGAAGGGGATGACAGAGGATGAGATGGTTGGATGGCATCACCGACACAATGGGGTTTGGGTGGACACAAACATGGGTTTGGGTGGACTCCGGGAGTTGGTGATGGGCAGAGGCCTGGTGTGCTGTGATTCATGGGGTTGCAAAGAGACAGACATGACTGAGCAACTGAACTGAACTGAATTTCCATCAGTTGACAGTCAGTCTTTGAAAAATGCTTTGAAATTTTTAGATGAACGCAGCCACATAGTCTGTGAATTCCTTCACTATGAGTCATGCCCTTGAAGCCTGCCTTAGCATTGTCATAGATCTCAAGGGCAAAGGCCAAACTTGTTTTTTACAGCACCAAATCAGGTATCAAACAAATATACAATTAATAGAATGTGGAGGTTTGGTGACAAACTGATCCTTGTCACAGTTCTAATGACATCAGTTTGCCATGAAGCTGAATTTAGTAAATAGGATTCAAAATAATTGAATTTTACAGTTATACACTTTTTTCCCCCTAAATTTAGAAATCTCCTAAATTTTAAAGTATGGCTATATAAAGGGAAAATGGCTTCATTTTTTTAGCATTTAAAAAAAAGCACCTCAAGATTACTAAAATGTAACAATAATAATTTAGTAGGTAGAGCTATTGGTAACGAATCTACCTCCCAATGCAGGACACACAAAAGACGTGGGTTTGATCCCTGGCTTGGGAAGATCCCCTGGAGAAGTAAATGGCAACCCACTCCAATATTCTTGCCTGGAGTAGTCCATGGACAGAGGAGTCTATGGGATCGCAATGTCAGACACGACTGAGCGACTGAATACACAACACACACAATCTTGCTGAATGACAGATGGAAACCTTCTTTGTCCTAATGTAAAATCTCAGCAGGAAGGACTCATGAACTCCTGCTGACATATCTAAGGTTGTGACAGGGTTTCAGATAATTAATCCCTGCATAAGGTACTTTGTGAAAAATAATACCTACTTTTCCTTGTAGAGTTGTACCTTTTAAAGATTATATCCTTGGAGATTTAAAAAACTGCTAGGGTTTTTCATATGTTAAAGATTTAAAGTTGACTAGGGGTAGATTTATTGCCAATTCATAAAATGAAGAGTTAGAGAAAATACCCTGTCTTGATTTATGATGGTAAACTTTGTAAGAAAATGAATATACAGTATTTCATTGCTTTGAAATTACAGCTAAAAGACTATTACAGCATAATACATATTGGTCTAAACAGGTACATGAGTACAAATTTTCTCAATGTAGATCATTAGCTTATCTAGTTTAAAACCCTTTTCTAGCCTTTCCCGCCCCTCCCCAAACAACTGTGTTTTAAACCTATGTGTACAATCATGTTTCATTACATAATGGGAGTTTTACTAGTTTCCTTCCTGCTTAAACTTCTTTCTCCCGGTTGATGAGCAACAACACTTTAGGGACAATGTATTTCACAAACCCAACAAAGCTAACAGGTAAAAATGTTCATCAGCTAAAGAGTAACACAAATGAATTCTTAGAAGACAGCCTTTTCTTTTGTTCAGCATTAATGAAATGTGTGTTTTTAGCATGGTGGATTTTAAGAGGAGGATCATAAAATAATCATGCTTCAAGAAATAAGCTTAAAGGCACTTTCTTCTTTTTCACACAGACCCTCAGGGCTGGTCTTAAACGCATACTGAAGAAATTAAGTAAATTTGGAAAGTTCTAATTTTCGAAAGCAAGACAAGAAACGCCTTTTCAACATTTCACATCATTTATTAATGCAGGACACATTAGATCCAAAATCTGCATTTTCTAAGCATACTGTGTTTGGATCTTTCAGATTCTTCTGCAGGTTTAGGTTATGTCTACAGAGGTACCCTTAAGTGGATGAACAACACATTCTCTAATTATTGAAAATATAGTACAGAGTGAAATGATTTAAATATAATTTAGGCACATATTGATTATGAAAATAGATTATCTCTCAATACAATACTTCTCTGTCTTGGTAAAAATAATAAAGCAAAGAAAATAATTCATTTCTGAAGTTGCTTTCCTTCGCCTGTAAAGGTCTATCTCCTCCCACTTATGCATATGTACCCTTTACTGTTAAGGAAAGCGTTGCATATGTATAGAAGAATAAGCTATGTAAATACTGAAGACATGTCATTCTCCCACAGGAGACAAAGTGGTTTTTAACGATTCCTTGCCTCACACGGATGAGTCTGGAGAATTCAGAGCCCATTTGGACACAGCTTACTTCCCTGCTCTTGGGGTCGACATAAGGACACACCAGTTACTGGTAAGAAGTGCAGGCCCTGCCCCTGCAGAGCAAGTGACTCGAGGAAGCCAGGCTAAAATGAATTAAAATACAACACACCGGAACTATAAGAACCAAGGTGCTCACTGAATTGGTAGTCCATCTTTGCACCAGCCACATACCTTTATTTCCGTTTAAGCTTTTTGATAACTGTAGTCAAACTGTCAGTTTAAAATTCCTCTGACCCCACTGTAGGGTCAGAGCTGCAGTTCTACTCTGTTGACTTCTAAGATGACTCTGCCATATTCATTCATACTTTATAGCTTTGATGGCAGTGGGTTTGGATTTCGCACCTATTTCCAAGCTGGTCTTGTTTATCTGGCATTTGAGTTAAATGAATGTTAATTATGTTTTTGGTTTTCAACCCTCTTCCTATGCTTGTTTTGATGGAACGGGGAGGGACTAAGCAAGTAGTGTAAAGAGATAAATCGCCTGGGCTGGCCTGGAATGGAGCTTGCTGAGAATGAAATTGCAAGTTGAAAGCTCAGTTAGAAGCTGTAGATAAATTGTTTGCCATCCACAAAGTTCCACTGAAACTTTAGCTAACAATGATGTATATATGATGTCTCTTTCCTGCCACTCTATCTCAATCAGTAACATGGTTTCTTTAATTTAGCTACTGTTTTGTTCTTAAAAAAAAAAATTCTTAAAATGAACCTGAAAAGCGAGCCTTGGGAAGTCTGATCTTACCATCTTCACATGGTGTGACAGGTATTCAAAGTAGGAGAGGCCCCACTAAAGCTATTTAGAAACCTGAACGACTTCTGCAAAATTGTAAAGTTCAACAATTTAAATATCCGTACTGCATCTAGAGAGTCAATAAATATAATTGCATATGTTGTGCTTTTCATAAATTAAAATCCTCAAATGCATTTCAAACCCAGATGGTATTTCAACATCATGCCTATTTAAAAGCAAATATAATAGATACTATTTATTCCTGGTCGCAAGGGCACCAGGCAAATCCCCCTACTCCACTCCAAAGGCAGCAATCTAATCTAGCTTCCCTAAATCTACTGCAGGAGTGCTTCTCTGTTAAAACCCAGACTGTGGGGGAAAAAGTCACTTTTTTCCTCTTATGCACCTCTGAGAACAAGCATAATCCTCTAAATGTTTTTTTTTAAATTCCCGTACAGTGTTATTTCTTCTAGATAACTGAGTGGGTGGAGAAAGAAGAGTGATAGGGGAAGCATCTGTCGTCTTCGGCATGTCCCCCTGCAGACCTCTCATCTGACGCTCTGAGACATGTGCAGCGGTGTCAGCATCTCTTCAAAGATGGCGCCCTTCACATTGGAACCCCTCAGGTTGGCTTCTTGAAGGTCACACCCAGACAGGTCACAGTTCTGCAGGACACAAACGGTATTCATGGAACCAACAGATTGAAGGGCATATCTGTTTCCTCTTAAAATGGTTCCTGGGGCCTATCAGGAAAAGGTTCCTATAGAATAAAACTCAGTTATTAATGGAAAACTTTCAGAAGTTTTAGGAGAAAGCCATATTTTCTTCTATCTGTATTTTTTCTCTCTAGTTGATGCTTACTTAGGCTGACCACCACAAATGTGTACCAACAAAGGTCAACAATGAAGTATGTCCCTTTAGAATTTTAAGCATTTAAAATCCAGAATGTAAAGTGTATCTAAACAATTTTATGGGCTTCCCTGGGAATATGGGGCAGCTCCACCGCCAGACAAACTCAGAGGCTCTGAGTGTCAGAAACTGATTTCTGGGACCTGAGATAATCTTTGTGCTTTTTAAAAAATTTATATCAGAGTACAGTTGATTTTGGAGAAAGAAATGACAACCCATTCCAGTACTCTTGCCTGGAAAATCCCATGGACAGAGGAGCCTGGCAGGCTTACAGTCCATGGGGTCGCATGATTTAGTGATTAAAACACATACAGTTGATTTACCATGTTGTGTCAGTTTCAGGTATACAGCCAAGTGATGTAGTTACACATCTCTTTGGGGCTTCCCAGGTGGCGCTAGTGGTAAAGAACCTGCCTGCAAATGCAGGAGATGTGAGTTGGATCCCTGGGTCTGGGAGGATCCCCTGGAGAAGGGCCTGGCAACTCACTCCAGTATTCTTGTCTAGAGAATCTGATGGGACAGAGGAGCCTGGTGGGCTATAGTCCATGGGGTCACAAGAGAGTCCGACACGACTGAGTGCCTTAATGGTTTTACCACAATCCATGAACAATAATGAAAGGCATGGAGGTGGGGAAGGCTCAGATTTTTAAACAGAGAAAGGGATTTTACTTAATAAATAAATTGTATCATGTAACTGCCTAACATTAACATTCTTAGAGTAAGGAACTGCCTTTTTTTAACCTCCCAATTATGTGTAAAATTCAGTGAGTTTTAACAGATCTATATACAGCAGTGTAACCACCACAACTGATAGCTGCTTTCAAATTTCCCTTGAGATCAGAAAGTGACAGATGGGACAGGGATTTTTGGCTAAGTCCCTGGGGATGGTGGGGATGATGGTTAGAGAGAAGGGTGATTGCACATAACCTTTTAAGATAGAGGGTTAGCAGCTGTCCCACAAGTCATCCTGATTAGTCTTTGCAATCAAAGGGAGGCTTTCTACTGTTTAGATAAACAACTCATGCTAACTGAAACAAAGGGAAAAAAATCCTCATCTTAGGTGACAGTAACGATATTTTAAAAGTTAAAGAACTGTATTATAAACCTACTGTAATACATTTATACCTTCATTCTTAAGGTGGTTCTTTTTGCCTCAAGTTCAACGGGGCCTGCTGCTGTGCTGCTAAGAGCTATCAAGGGAACAAGGTGCATTCAGATGAGAAATCTAGATGCTGGCTATGAAATAGGATCACTGAATTAAGGATTGTATTTTGGACCTTAGGACTGAATAAGACTGCAGAGGAAGGAAGTATAGAGTGAAAGAAGGATAGACAAAAACACAGAAACAGTACTCTTAGTATTATAACAAAAAAAGAACACGATGAAAACATTTTTTAAAAAATCAACAAGCTAAATATTGACATACTATTCTCTAGAATCCCATCTATGCCAGATTTTCTTGTATAGGTCTGTATTGTTCAGTACGATACTCCTAGTCACACATAGCAGTTTACATTTAAATGAATTTTAATTAAATCCAATTTACAAATCCATCCCTCGAATAGCCAGATGTGGCTGGTAGGTGCTGGACTGAACAGCACAGCCACAGAACATGTCCGTCGTTGCAGAAAGAGCCGCCAGACAGTGACACAGACCCGTTAACTGCTGTGCAGTCTGCCGGCTCGATCTGCAGCTCAAGAGGATATATGGCAGACAATTCTGATGAAAAAGATGGCTGGCTGGACAGAACTGAAGTCTCAGATTGAGACTCAAAAAAGAATATGATGCCAATTTAGAACAGGTATTCCCTGAACCTGATTTCAAACACAGATATCATTTCAATTTCTCAAAAAGTTTAAGAAATAATCTGGCCCCATTTAATTCTGTTTGGAATTAAAATTTAAGAAAACCACAATCAAGTGGATTAAAAAAACATCTATCAAGTCTATCTACCTGAGGGAGATCCAAGGAAAAGAGGAGAAATCAGCTCAGACTGAATGCCAGATGAATCTTCAAATATGCAATCTAGAAAACTGGCACTGATGAACCCATTAGCAGGGCAGGAAGAGGGACGCAGAGGACAGACTTGCAGACACGAGGCAGGGAAGGAGAGTGAGACCCACAGACAGCGCAGCCCTGACCTACACACCAGCGTGTGTAAAGCAGACAGTGGGCGGCAGCATGCAGCCCGGGAGCTCAGCTCAGCAGCCCTCTGTGACGGCCGAGAGCGCCGGGGCGGGGAGGAGGCCTGAGAGGGAGGGGGTGGACGCGTACCTGTGGCTGCCGCTGTAGTACCAGCAGGCACTAACAACACGGTAAAGAAATTCTACTCCAGTGAAAAATAAAATCTGAAGCTAGCGTCTGTAACTTAGGTAAGCAGATTCTGCTCTGGAATTCAAATTTGTTTAAACAAGCAACTGAAAGAAAAGCATTCCATCAGCACATTGGCGCATTTACCTGGCAGTATTGAACAGCCAACTACTTTGTTTTATTTCAATACATTTTGCAGGAACTACTCAGTCATTCTGGATGAACAAAAACTCAGTGACTCACCTCCAAATCAGTTCCTGCCAAAGTTGCCCCTCTGAGGTTACAGTTCTTCAACTTCGCATTCTTTAAGGTCGCAACTCTCAGGTTAATTCCTGTCATCTGACTTCCTTCCATATCCACACCTTTCAGATTAGCACCTAAAGTGAGCATATTTTAGGAGCAGTTGAACTAAAAAGTATTTATAGTCATTTATCTTCAAAAGATGCAAGATGACTTAACAGGGGTAAATGTTGACCTCTGCATCCTTTGGAAATGACTGAATTATAAACTTGTCTCTTGACCAGTGTACATACATATGGAGTTCTTTGTTAATCTGTTTGCTTATACTATGAATTAAGAATTCGTGTTTTAGTCTGTATTTTTGAGGGAGGAATTCAATTTGGTCCCAGAGTTTGCACTTTTAAATATGCTTCCAAAAATTTATGGTGATGGAAATGAGGTGTGTGTCTTCTAGATATACAAATAAACAAAATGACAAGTTCATGGACAAAACAAAGCAATAAGGAATTCATAAACAAAATATTATATCCAAAAGTGATTAAAAAAAAAAACAAACTGCCTGGCTTTATGCAAACTGAAGTTCTTCATTTTGGTCCACATTAAGACTATGGTGTTTTGTTATGGTGCCCTGGGGGAAGGATGGAGGAAGCGAAAGTTAGGGAGATGGGGAGGGACAGGTACACACTGCTATATTTAAAATGGATAACCAACAAGAACCGACTATATGTCATAGGGAACTCTGCTCAATGTTATGTGTCAGCCTGGACTGGAGGGGAATTTAGCGGAGAATGAATACTTGTTTATGTATGGCTGAGTCCCTTTATTCTCCACCTGAAACATTCACAGCATTGTTAATCAGCTATATTCCAATATAAAATAAAAAGTTTAAAAAACAATGCTGTTCTGTTTGGACATTTAAGATGTTGATACTTATCTCTAACTGAAGCTTCCTTAAATACTGGAGGCCACATTTCCTGAGTTCAGCATGCTGGTTTCCATTACTGAGACCAAACAATGGCTTAGCCCTTTGCAAATCCCCTAAGACAGAAGAAATGTTCCTCCCTATGGTTATGTTTTACCAGTAACAATTATTTTGCTGGGCTTTTTACTTAATGGTGTGTTTTTATTTTAGAGAAGGTAATTACAGAGAGACTCTTACCTTCTAAATTGGCTTTGAGACCGGAGGGATCTTCAAAATTACACAGCTTCAAGGATGCTCCCTCTGCATTAGAACACAGCATCTTGACGCCCTGGAGATTTGCACACTGGCCAAGGAAAGAGTAAAGTCTGTGTTTATTATGGTTCAGAATTTTTTTTGGACTAGAAAAAATTGGCTCAAACAGTAAAAGAAAAAAGAAAAAAAAATCTGATATACTCACAATCAACTGTTTTGTTTACAATAATTGTGAGAAGTTTTTTCAATAGTTGTTTTAAAAGAAAAAAAGCCAAACAAACAATAGCATTCCTGCTTTACATGAAGAGAGTTTAGATAAAGAAGCTGGGGAGGGAGGACTATGATATCCCTATTTCTATTTTTATAAACAGCCCTGGGCATATAAACAGCCCAGCTCATGACAGTGTAACAGTTAATGTCTGAAGAAAGCATGAAATTGTTAGGGATCTAGATCTTCTCTTATTACTGCAAGAATGAAATTTCTGATGCTCAGTAATGTTGTCGCTACCTTCATTTCAAAGGTCGGACTGCTAAGGCCAGCAATGAAAGGTGCCATCTAGCTACAAACACCACCAAGTTGCTTGTAGGGTCTTTCTGTACCAACCATCGCTCCAAAACATTGTCAACCCTGAGTACCCAAACGGCAGTTCAAGATATAAAGAGGAAAAAGTCAGAAAGTATATTTTGGAACTTTAAATTCAATGCCATCAGATCTGATGTCTAACAATTACTGGATATGGTAGGAAGCTATCTATAAAGTCAGTGATAACGTTAGACCTTTGCTAATTGGGGCCAAAGTAGAAGGTAAAAAGTATTTGAAAAACCCTCAGACATTACAGAAATGATAATTGCAATTGTTATTATAATTAGATCAGTGAGGAAATCTAAACGCCTAAGCCTGATTAAGTTATGTGATACCCATACCAAGAAAAATCCTTGTCCCATAAATGCAGTTTTATTCAGCCACAGCCAATTCTAGTGAACAGAAGATAAACTACAGACCATTTCAAATCACAGATAACTGACAAACGGGTCTGCATTTCCATTCATGCCTGTGCTTTAAGACGAGGTAGTTCAGAAGCTCAGACTGACAGGTAGGATAATGAGGACCTAGAAGATAACTCAAAGATGATTAGATTTTATGTAGTTGAAAATATACTGTAACAGGACAGGAAGGTGATATCTGAAAATAAATCTCTCTGGTTCGCGATGTAATGCTCCCAGGTAGAATACAAGTATTATCAAAAGTTCCCAAGGTTATTATGTGAGTACTGCTCTCTACTCAAGGCTGTACTATGGAATCTCACAAAGAAATATATGAGAAACTCAGTGAGATTTTTTTTGTCTTCAAAAACCACAAAAAGTATTTCACCCTCTATTCATCAAATGGTAAAAGCAGGTCACCAACACTGACACCTCAGCTACTCACCTGCAGCTACTAAGGAAGTCAGCATTATAGTTAGATTTGGGCTCTTTACTGTATCAAGGGGCAGTGGTTTTGATGAAAGCAGTTATTACTGTTTTTGAAAAGGATAATGATATTAAGATTATGCTTAGGGCTTCCTTAGTGGCTCAGTGGTAGAGTCTGCCAGCTAATGCAGGAGACAGGGGTTTGATCCCTGGTCCAAGAAGGTCCCACATGCCACCAGGCATCAAAGCTTGGTGCACAACTACTGAGCCTGTCCTCTGAAACCCATGTGCCGCTAGCTACTGAAGTCCAAATGCTCTGGAGCCCATGCTCTGTAATAAGAGGAGCCACCAAAATAAAAAACCCACGCACTGCAACGAGAGCAGTCACCACTCGCTGCAACTAGAGAAAGGCCTACAGAGCAACAAAGACCCAAAACAGCCAAATAAATAAAACTATTAAAAAGCCAAAGATTGTTTGAAAAATGGTCCTTGTCTTTAAGAGAATAAAATATTTACAGGTGAAGTAAGTTGCTTCAAAAATACTCTGGAGAGGCATAGACAATACACAACTGTTTAAACACTGATACTGTTGATGCTGAGTAATGGAGATACAAACGGATTCACTACACCAGCTCATTTTTGTCTATATTTCACATTTTCCAAAGGAAAAAGTCATCAAAAAAGACATAAGGAAAAGAAAACACCTGCTTTAGAGTCTAGCTCTAGTGCTGCTGATGAACCAGCCTCCGAGGCTTGGGTAAGGGCACACTTCAGTTTCTGAGTCTGTAAGACAGGGTCATACTTATCATCAGTGTCCCTTCCAGGTCTTATCATCTGTTAAGTCTTGCACTAGGAATGTGCAAAAAAAAATCATAAGAGCTGAATTATTATACCAGCTTCTACACAGCAGGCTAAAGTCAATAATGAAAGGTGGAGCAGGCAGAAGACGCATTCTAAAGGCACTGACAGAACAGAGGGTGCAGCTCAGACATGAACCCCGACAGCAGCTAAGGTCACCTTGGTTGACAGCAGAAACGGAGGGTTCCTGCAGAAAGGTTTCACAGCCCACAGGGATCAGTCAGGGGAGAAGTTTAACAAGAGGGGTGGGAACATCAGGTGCATCTTGTGCTTAGCTGACCTCATACTCTGTGGACACTGCAATACATATGACTATTCATCAGCAGCCATCTTCAAGTGCCAAAGACAATCAGCCACTAGTTTTTACTTTCACAGCCCCTACACTCTGGGTGGTGACTCCTCAACATGAGCCATTGTATTCAATAAACTTGCAGTTCTGCAGCACTTTAGTATGTATCAGTTAAAATTACATAGGCCACTGCAAGACAAAGATGGCAGAGTAAAAGGACCTTGAGCTCATATCCTCTTATGAGCTCACCAAAATCACAATAAATAACTATCCATAAAAATGACTGGAATCTACCCAAAAAAGATACTCTACATCCAAACACATAAAGAAGAAATCACAAGATGGTAGGAGGGGTGCATTTATAATACAGTCAAACCTCATACCACCCAGGTGGGCAACCCATAGACTGGAGAATGATGATATCACAAAAGTTCTCCCCCAGGAGTGAGAGCTCTGAGCCCCACACCAGGCTCCCCAGCCTAAAGGTCCAGCACTAGGAGGAGGCCACAGAGCATTTTGCTTTGAAAGCCAGAAGGACTTGATTGTAGCTTGAGGGAAACAAAGGGGACCATGGGAAAGAGACTCAACTCTTGGAGAGCTCAGATAAGATCTTACACACACCAGAACCCAGGTCAAAAGTGCTGACTCCACAGAAGCCTGGGCCAGACCTACCTGCTAGTCTTGGAGGGTCTCCTAGGGAGGTGGCAGGTGGGAGGCAGTTGTAGTTCTCACTGGGTTCTTAAGCTGGTGGCAGACATAGTGGCAATCTATGTGAACTCCGGCTGGAGTCCTTGACACCAAGACCTGGCCCCACACAACAGCATGGAGGCTCCAGTGCTGGGACGCCTCAGGCCAACCAACCAACAGCCAGAAATACAGCCCCAACTATCAGCAGACGGGCTTACTGAGCCCCCAGAAACCTCTGGACATGGCCTTGCCCACTAGAGGGCCAAGACAGATCCACAGACCAGTGGGCAGGCATGAGCCCCTCCTGCCAGAAAGACTGAACAAGCCTCTAACCAGCCTCACACACCAGGGGGCAGACACCTAAAGCAAGAAAACTACGATCCTGCAAAACTAAGTCCATCAATATGAGTCAGAAACTACCCTGGGATCAGGCTGGTCCCTGGCCCTTAATGATGAGAAGGGAGTGTACTGATAGACACACAGGGCAGCCCCCACTGAGGGCCACTTCCCCAAGGTTGAGAAATATTACTAAGCTACTACATGCATAAGAAATATAAATAGAAATTTAAACAAAGTGAGATAGCAAAGGAATATATTCCAGACAAAAGAACAAGATAAAACCTCAGAACAACTAAGTGAAGTGGAGATATGCAATCTACCTGAGAAAGAGTTCAGAGTAATGATTGTAAAGATGATCCAAGAACTTTGGAAAAGAATGGATGCAGAGAGAGAGGTTGCAAGAAATTCTCAACAAAGAGTTAGAAAATATAAAGAATAAACAGAGTTGAAGAATATAATAACTGAGATGAAAAGCACGCAGAAGGAATCAACAGCAGAATAAATGAGGCAGAGGAACAGGAGAGAGAAGAACTGTGTTCTAGTGAGTTGGAAGACAGACTGGTGGAAATTACTGCTATGGAAAAGAATAAGGAAAAATAATGAAAAGAAATGAGGACAGTTTAAGAGACCTCAGGGGAAAATGTCAAATGCATCAAGATTTGCATGATAGAGGTCCCAAAAGGAGATGAGGGAGAGAAAGGGCCCGAGAAAATATCTGAAGAGATAATAGCATGGGAAAGGAAACAGTCACCCAAATCCAGGACGTACAGGGCATCCTGTTCAGGGTTAACCCAAGAAGAAACATGCTCAGACACATGATAATCAAACTTAATTTAAAGACAAAATTTAAAGAGAAAATATGAAAAACAACAAGGGAAAAGCAACAAATAATATACAAGAAAATCCCCGTAAGACTAGCAGCCATTTTCTTACGAGAATCTCTACAGGCCAGAAGGTAGTGGCATGATATATTTAAAATGATGAAAGGGAAAAACCTACAACCAAGAATACTCTACCCAGCAAGACTCTCGTTCAGATTCAATGGGGGAATCAAAGCCTTTACAGACAAGCAAAATTCAGCACTTAAGAGAATTCAGCATCAGCTTTACTACAAATGCTAAATGAACTCTGCAAAGAAAAGAAAAGGCCACAACTAGGAACAAGAATATTAGGAAACAGGAAAGCTCACGTACAGTAAAGGTAGGAAATCATCCACACACAAATACGATATCAAAACCAGTAATCATGAGATGAAAGGAGTATGAATGCAGAATTTTAAAAATATATTTGAAATTAAGAGATCAGCAACTTAATAATGTATCATATGGACTTCTATATCAAAACCTCATGGTAACCATAAACAAAAAAATCAGTAATATATACACAAAAAAGAAAAAGTAACCCAAATACAACATTAAAGATCATCATCAAATCACAAGACAACAAAGGAGGAAAGGAAGAAAAAAGACCTACAAAAACAAATCCAAAACAATTAACAAAATGGCAAT